AATACTGGAGTGGGTTGCCATTTTCTTCTCCAGGGGATCTTCCCAACCCAGGAAATCGAACCCAGGTCTTCTGCATTGCAGGCAGATTCTTTACCAACTGAGCTACGAGGGAAGCCATTTAGTAAGCCTAGATAGAATAAAAGTTGTATGTCCACATTATGTTAATGTTGATAACTTTAAAGATGTGTCTATTTTAATTAAACTGACAAAACTTAAACTACTGTTTTTAACAAAAGATGATCTTAGATCACATGAACTTGAAAAATAGTTGGCTTAGTTTCTATATTTTTCTGAGAGTTTATTTGATTTATATAAATTTCTATTTGTCTTTAAGTCCATTTAATGGAGCTCTTCACAAATTTTGGCAACACCATCCAGAAGAACAAAATCCCACATCTGTGACATACACGTAGATATAAGAGCTGTGTACTGATCTTACAGCTTGTTTTACAATTTTAGCCACAAGATGGGTATGGTAATTCAAAACTCACTAGTTTATAAAAATAGTTGGATCCAAATTGTGTTTCTGGCAGATGGAATGAATTAAGGTTACTTGCTCAGATAGTTTAAACTTCTTACTAGTATTTGTGGAGGAGACTTACTTAAAATTTTTTTCATTTGCCTAGTTTCCAAATACTGCCCACCCCCTTTTTTTTTGTAAATTTCCTCCCTGAAGTTTGCATTCCAAAGAGAACAACCTCAGTTCCTAGCAAAGACACTCAAACATCTCACAGGCATCGGCAAAGAATGCAACTTCCTCCAAGAAAGATGTTACCTGAAGCCAACATTTTTACAATACCTACAAACCTTGGGGCTTACCTAGAGGCTCAGCTGATAAAGAATCCATCTGCAATGCGGGAGACCTGGGTTCAATCCTGGGCTGGAAAGATCCCCTGGAGAAGGGAAAGGCTATCCACTCCAGTATTCTGGCCTGGAGAATTCTATGGACTAAGGATTGGACATGACTGGGCTACTTTCACTTTCACTTTCACAAGCCTTGTGAGATAGGGGAGAGGTTCTGATTAGTAAAAAGGATAGGTGAACTTTTTCTGGTCTTACAAAGACTCAATTTGTGAAACAGGAAATAGGATTGGATTACAGGATTACAACCTGAAAGATACCAAGGGGACCATCCACCCAACACCAAATTTCAGACTAGACAGTGACTGTTCCTGGCTGTACTGAACAAACACCAAGAGCTACTACCCTCCCTAGATCCAGTCACTCCCAAAGATAGCCAAAAGAAAGAAGTACTTAGACAGTTTCTGGAGAAGCTGGCAACAGTTGGTAAGCTGCAAATGGGATGCAACCCACATTTCTGTCCAACTATATTTTGTGGCCTGATAGTTGAACTGCCTCCATACACAAGAACCAACAACACCCATGTGTCAGCAGGCAGAAAGACCAGCCAGTTCTCAGGATCCAAGAAGGCAATAGCTATTCCTGAGAGAGAAAGGATCAATAACCAGTGAGTTCCCCAAACCAGATTCCTAAGAGTCTTCATTTGGAAAGGGAAGGACGTGAATTTTCTCTCTGGACCAGAAACTCCAGGGACCAACGAGAGCTGACTTGGGTAAGAATTCTCACTTTTGGCTAGCTTCTGTGGGTTTTCCCGGGATCCCAGATCTACAGACTCCAGTGAGCAGAATTTACAGTAAAGAGTGTAAGTTCTGGCCTACTAGGATTTTACAAGGTTTTCCATTTATTTTAGTTTTCCCTTGGCTGTTTAAGGGAATAACTGTTAAGAGTTTATCAGAAAACCCCTCAGAGTCCCATTCACCCTGGAAGGGCCGCCTTTGAGAGTAGATAAGGGGGTATTCAAGTTCCGGAGGAGGGGGTTTTATTATCTTACTTATCTGGCCTTGGAGCTGTTGCAGTTTTAAAACCAACTTGATGAATGTTTTTTGGTCTGTCTCTTCAAAGTGGAAAGGCAGTTCAGTTAAGATGAATAGGAGACAGTATTCAGGTAAAGAAAAATAGTTGTTGGAGCCAAGTCTGTCTTGTTTTCTCTGATTTTTCAATAGCCCTTAGCACTGAATCTTTCAGTGAAACTGTTTTGGAATTTTGCAGTGTTTTGGAGTCTTCTGCATAGCAATTAAAATAGATATCCCATTCTGGTTGGTTTGGGAACACTTTCACAGGTAGTTCTTAAATAGTGTATCTAACCGGAATGTCCCTGATGGTGGCCATTGAAATGCTAGGTTGTCTTAGACCTTGCCATTTCTGCAGCTTCCAGGACCACAATTTTTTTTTTCATTTATTTTTATTAGTTGGAGGCTAATTACTTTACAATATTGTAGTGGTTTTTGTCACACATTGACATGAATCAGCCATGGATTTACATGTGTTCCCCATCCCAATCCCTCCTCCCACCTCCCTCTCTACCCGATCCCTCTGGGTCTTTCCAGTGCACCAGGCCCGAGCACTTGTCTCATGCATCCCACCTGGGCTGGTGATCTGTTTCCCTATAGATAATATACATGCTGTTCTCTCGAAACATCCCACCCTTGCCTTCTCCCACAGAGTCCAAAAGTCTGTTCTGTACATCTGTGTCTCTTTTTCTGTTTTGCATATAGGCTTATCATTACCATCTTTCTAAATTCCATATATATGTGTTAGTATGCTGTAATAGTCTTTATCTTTCTGGCTTACTTCACTCTGTATAATGGGCTGCAGTTTCATTCATCTCATTAGAACTGATTCAAATGAATTCTTTTTAACAGCTGAGTAATATTCCATGGTGTATATGTACCACAGCTTCCTTATCCATTTGTCTGCTGATGGGCATCTAGGTTGCTTCCATGCAGGACCACAATTATTATAACAAAATAAGCAGGTGTGCCAGAAGGTGGATTGCTCGATTTTCTGAAACTCAAGGATCTCGATTCTTAGGTAAGCCTTGGGTCTTTGGGAACCAGATGACTATGTAAGAGGTTGGGGATCTGGTGGTATTTTACAGTGTACTTTGTTGCACAGAATTTTTCTTGAGGTTGTCAGGTGTCCTAGTGTCAATCTAACCCATTCCATGACCATCTAAGTATATGAGTCTTAGATTTAGGTGGGAAGCACTCTAAAATCTTTCAAGTGTTTGATCCATGCTCACCAGTTTTACATCTTTGGCTTCAAGATTCCCCTTAGCAATTGATCTATTTAATCTTTAAATGAGAAAATTTCTTTATAAAAGCGGCAGTCACCCTAATGACTTTTAAGAGTATGACTTGTGCTACTTAGATGTTGTTGTGCCATTAGTTCAAACAGTTCTAATTTCTTATTTTCCAAGTCTCCCCACACTTTTTGCTGTGGACTTCTCTTTATGCATCCCCTAATGGCTGCCACCCATTGTGGGTTCCCAATATAGCTGTCTTGGAACTTTTCTGGGAAATAAGTATACACAAATGCACTTCTTTTTTTCCCCTTACATAAAGTTTGTTTGGATCAGAACTGTGTACAAGGGGTCGGAGCTCAGATCCCTAAGTGGCTTGCCCTTGGTTATGATGAGAAAAACAACGCAAAGGGTTCAGTGGGCTCTTTGCTTATGCATCTTGTCCCACAGTCCATTGGAAGTCAGCTTGGGATTCCATCCTCCCCCACCAGAGACTGTTACAGATGCTCAAACAAACTTTGACACTTGAAGCAGGCACTCTCCACTTGCAGGGGCCCAAAGAACTGCAAAGGGGAGCTGATGGCAGGAGGATAAAAAATAAGGAATAAGGAGGTGAGTAGAGAGCCACACTTGGCTTGGTGTCTGGCCAACTGGATGTACCTTGTTTCTGGTCAAGCGGACCATTTACAGGGACATGAAGGTTATTTAAGTTTTGGTTTGCTGACATGGCACCTGGGCAGAAGTGGCTCCATCTTGAGCTTTCAAACTTACTTCAGAAAAACCACTATGGCCCGTTAGCCAAATTCAGCCTATGGCCTCCTTTTATACAGCATGAGAGCTAATAATGTTAACATTTTTAAAGGCTGGCGAGGGCTGTTGACAGAGACCATATGTAGCTCAAAGTCTGAAATGTTCACTCTCTGGCCCTTTATAGTCAGTTTCCTGACTTCAAGCCATTTGTGCCTATAGTTCAAATAGGAATGATTTGCATACACGTAGTTCGCTAGTCCAGGGACACCTCATCATTGTAGCAACAAATTATTTTTTTTTTTCCATTGCAAAATGGGGTTGGAAGGAGTAGGGGATTTAAGTCATTGGGTATGGATTCCACTTTTAAGTAGTCTACCATAAATCCAAAGAGCAACAAAAGACTAAATGTAAAAACGTGGGTGTTTTTCTTCCACAGCATACCTATGTGCACAGGTATGATATGCATGCAAGTGGTTGTTCTCCAAAGGTATATAATTACATCATGTAGAAAAGCTTGCTATACTCTAATGAAATTAGAGTCAAAATAGAATGTCTGGGGAAAAGTTTATTCCCAGCTACTTGGTTATTATATACACAAGACTGCAATGAATTTAAGCACATTCTTTTATGAATAAGTAATTTTCATTATAAAGTATGGAGGTCACAATTTAAGTATGCTAATTTTAATTGTGAATTTGATGACTTCTATTTGTTTTGAAAGGCTTAATGATACCACCTCAAACTCATGTCCTAGCTACAAAATTTCAGTACAGCTTTTGCTGTATACCTCATGGGAGAATATCACGTATAGGTTTTGTCTGATACTTATTACTTATTCATAGAAACATGAACAGACTTGATGCCAAGCAATGAAAGCCAGCTTCTCCCTCCCCATCTCTCCTAGATATCCCTCACCAACCTTAATGTATATTTTATGAAACTTCTCTATTGATCTCTTCCCTAAGAGACTATATATACAGCTAACTTATTTCATCCTCATGTTTGTTGTTTTTCAAAAATACATGATCAATTTCTTAACTACCAAGTAGTATACCAAAATTAAACCAGGTGTTTTTAAATGTGCCACAGCTCTTTGTGAAGATAAAAATACATTTTTCTTCTTTAGTAGACATAGATTTGCAGATCTTCATTTAATTTGCTGGAGAAAGAAGTAATAGATAATACATTTATTTTTTTTTGAAGTCTTCACATTCAGCTATCTGACACTAAAAACTAGTAACAGGAGGTTCTTTAATAAGGAATTAAGGGTCTAACATTTTTACCTGTGGACCTGACAATGCAATAGTACTTTTATAATTAAATTACATATACCATTTAGGGAAAAAAAATCACATTATACTTACCTTTTTTTTTTTTAATTGTTTACCAGGTTCATCAAAATAAGTTTTTAAAGTAATTCTAAAGTGGAATTACTACTATTAACTATTGGCCAGGTTGGTTCATTTGAATTATTTGGGATGCTGTCTGTGCTGTTGAAAGGTAAAATTTGGGGCATGTTTTAAACATTTTTAGAAGTTTTACTGTATTGGTCACTAGAGTGTTTCATATGTTAAGTGCTCAGAACACTGAGATGCAGACATACACCTTTTGAGATTTGCCTGAAGACATACAGCCATTGAGTGGCAGAGCCATCAAGGGCTACATTCCCACACAAATATATTTATTGGATCTGCATATGAAAGTTGTAGGAACTGGTATTATTAACATTAAGTCTTATAAACAGACATGTAAAATTATTTCAATCCACAGAACAGGGAATGGTTTTTGTCAGTGGCTCATATGACTTGAGTCGGAAATCCATAAAGCATGTGAGATGATGAGCCAGATTTCATGTTATACGTATTACTACTACTTTAAAAAACCACCACCATAGAAAATTAGCATAAGATTTAGCACCACTTAATTTTGCAAGCTAGTTTAAATTCCAGTCCCTCTGTATTTAGCATGTTCCTTTATACAAGCTACTCAACTTTCCCTTGCCTTTCTTTCCTCAACTGTGTGAAGAGTGTGATAATCCTGTTATTTAAGATTAAAAGGAATCATCTGAATCACCTAATACAATCCCTGGCTTTAAGGATTCAATGATTAGGTCACCTTTCTAAGTAAGAAACCTAAACAAAGCCCTAAATTTATAATTACTTAGCAAGTTATCTAATCTGTGATTAAAATGCACATTACCTTAAAGGGAAAACAGAATAACACATCTTGAATCTAGGACAAGAAAAAATTGACACTAGCATATTGTGCTTTCCCCCTCTTTACTCAGTAGTGTCTTCCAGCTACTCAGACAACAAAACACATCTGTACCAGGACAAATAATTAACATGTGCCCATGATTCACTATAAATAGGATATGGGAGAGAGGGAAGGCTGCATTCAGCCAAACAAGCACGATGATTTCACAGTCCCATTTAGATGGGGCAACTCAGATCGGCCAAACTTACAGTTAACTCTCAAACAGCACGGGGTTGAACTGTGCAGGTCCACTTTTACATGGATTTTTTTCCAACTGTAAATATTCTAGTACTGTATGATCTGCAGTTCATGGTTGGTTGAATCTGCAGATGTGAGGAACTGTGGACACTGAAGATTGACTAACTTTTTAAGACTGTGGGTTTTGACAGCCTGAAAGTTTGGTGTCCTAATCCCCTGTTCAGTGGTCAACTGTATACACTAACCTCAGCTTTCTCTCCATTTCCCGTGTGTGCGCATACACACATGCCCTTGCATACCAACAATAAGCTTTGTGTTTAAGGCAGGGAAACAGCCAACTGTAAGGGCAGAGGGCTAGGAAAAGCTGTCTCTGATACAACTTTGCCCCCAGAAGCACACCTTATACTTCTGGGATGTCTTTTTATGTACTTTGTGTCTGTCTGTCAGGATTGGATGGCAGCTGGTGCAGTGTGGAAGTTTTTGCCTCCACTCTTACCACGGGCAGCTGAGAAAACTAGGGGGAAGATAGCGGGACCAACAGTAAAGACTGTGATCCTACGGGCAATGCAAACAGCTGTTTCTGACCCTATGGCCATGGTTAGCTCTGCAGCAGTGCTTATATACAGAGAGAAAAGTGGAAATGGTAGAATGCTGAGGTATCAGTAATACTCATTTTAGTGCCAGTTCAAGCTTTACAGGAAGCAAAGGTTTGAAGTGAATAATCAGTGTGCTGCTCAAAGTTACAAGGAAGAACACTGGAACACCCAGTTTTTCTACTGGAACCTGCTAAACAAATGTACCAGTACGTAAGCACAGGCTTGGGCATTATCACTAAAAGAATTTTCATACTCCAAGCTCATTTCCTTTTGTCAAAAGGTATTGAGAATACTTAGATTCCCACATCACTTACCTGTAGGGCCCGTCCTTTAGTCTCAATGGGGAGAGTAAATGCAGAAATGGCACACACCACACAGACAGACGAGAAGAGACACAGGGCCCCCAGGAACGATGCACTCATAAGAACCTGCAGAGCACAAGGAATGACTCAATATACTGCAAGTATTTATTTGGGCCAAGCTTTTGTACGCATTTTGTGAGACTCTTCCAGAAGCTGGGCATGATGTTAACATGCACGGGCCAGGTCAGACTGCTCCCTGCACCCACCCCTTGGGCATCATCGGAGCAAACCAATACCTGAGGAAGATGGGAGAGCCGCCTGTTTTCCTACCCCTTCTCATACCAATTCAGCTCGCTTAACCAGTAACCCTCTCCTTTCCTGCAATACCCCTTCTGCTAAAAGTCAACTTGCCCTCTTCAGTTCTGACAGGATGAAGCAGGAGGAAGACTTTGGGGAATAAACGTAGTGTCTCGGTCCTGCCTCTACTGCCACTTCTATTTTGACACCAAAATTCTTACCACCCCCTGAATAATTCTAAACTCGCTCCACTTCATATCCTTTGCACCAGATTCAAAGTCCAAGATGGTGTGAGACCCTGCTGGGTTCAGCTGAGGTCACAGAACTGTGCTCCACAGCCAGGATCAGGGAGGGCAGTCCCCTAGAGGGTGCCGGGCTCTGCTTGCTAGTGGGACTCCAGCAATCTGGCCGGTGTTACTGGATGTTCTTTCAATAAAGTCCTCTATGCCTAAATTAACCCAAGCCAATTTTTATTGTTAGCAAGCAAGAACTCTTGATACCTAAATTACAAAAGTGGCTAAAGAGGAAATGCTGATGGCTAACAGGCACATGAGAAGATGCTCAACATGGCTAATTATCAGGGAAATGCAAATCAAAACCACAGTGAGATATCTCCTCACACCTGTCAGAATGGCTAGCCTCAAAAAGCACACAAATAACATGTTGGCAAGGATGTGGAGAAAGGGGAACTCATACACTGTTGGTGAGAATATAAGTTGGTGCCACCACTGTGGAAAACAGTATCAAGATTTCTCAGATAACTAAAAATAGGACTACCATATGACACAGCAATGTATTTTTGATATATGTCCAAAACAAAAACAACCACCAAACAAGTGAAAAATACTAAAAAATCATCTGGGAAACTTGGTAGAAATGAGTCTTTCCAGGCCCCACTCCAGATTCACTGTATTAAAAACAAAGATCTGTAAATCTCTACTTCTAATGATCAGCATACACCAGGTACAAAGAGGGATATTACCCAATGATAAAAGATTCAGTCCAACAAGACAACACTCCTAAAGGTTTATACACCAAAGAGCTTCAGATTACCTCCTTTCAGTAAAAACTGAAAAAGCCACTGTGGTGGTGTTTTAGTAAAAACCATTCCACAGTTGACAGAACTGCGAGACAGATCAGCAAGGATAAAAAACTATAACACCATCAACCAACAGGAGTTCATTCACACTTATAGAACACTCCACCTAACAGCAGAATACATATTCTTTTCTAACCATGGAACATTCACCAAGACAGACCTCATTCCAGGCCATAAAATCAACCTCTAAGGATTTAGAAGAACTGAAACCATAGAATGTGTTCTCTGACTAAAATGCTATCAAAGTTAGAAATAACAAATATAACAGCAAAATTTCCAAACTCCTAAATAATCCATGCATCAAAACATCAAGAAAAATAAAAAGTAACATTGAGGGGAATGAAAATACAGCATATTAAGTTTGTTGGACACAGCTAATGGGAATAAAAATAAAGTATTTAGAAATAAACTTGAGAAATGTATAAGCCTAAAGAAGACTAAAACTTTACTAAAGGACATGAAAACTAAATTTGTCCTTAGATAGAAAAATAGTACTGTTTCTAAAAATAGTTCTCAAGGTAATCTGTAGTAACTCTAATGGATCTCAAAATCCCAGTAGGATTTTTGAGTCAATTTGGAGGGGGAAAAAAAAAGTTGGTTCTAATCATTAACATGTTTAAAAAGCTCAAGAAACTTCTGAAAACATTGTGCAGGTAAGGGAATCTTGAGGAGGTGATTAACCCAAGAGCCACTAAACAAAGTTCTAATCATTAGCAATATGACATTGATGCCAAAATAGATCAGTAAAGCAGTGAGTCACAAAATAGATCCAAGTATATGGAAATTGAATTGCTACAATAGGAGCACATGAATCAATTGAAGCAGACAAATGCTTAAGGGCCAGGAAAGACAGCTAAGCATTGTGTTGCTTTTTAAAGCTGGATTTTTAGCTCAGGGCTTAAGCATTAGTAAACTGTAAATCAAAGAAATTAATGTTGTTTTTTTTTTTTAATTAATGTTTTAGATGAAACACTGAAAGGCTTTGCTGTTTTAGATATATGGCTTAGTTGGTGCTGAAGGCCATTAAACGTGACCCAAAACACTAACTCTTTAGGTGAAAATAACTGGTAGGTTGACAACAAAGTTTTAAATTTTATATGCCAAAAACTTGACTAATAACTAGTAACATCTTAAGGCATACCATGAACAAGGGAAAAATATCTGTAGTATAATAAATAGTTCATGGCCTGCAGAAATTCTGCAAATCACATAAATAAGAAACTTACACACACACACACAAAAAAAAAAACAAATGGATAATAAACAGAGGATAGATGCTCACCCTTACTAGTAACAAAGTACACATTAAGACAGCATATAATTTATTGTCCACCAATATCAAATAAGGTTAAAAAGGGGGTTTGGCAGTGGTCTGTGACAACCTAGAAGGGTGGAATGGGGCAGGAGATGGGAAGAGAGTTCAGGAGAGAGGGGAATATGTATACCTGTGGCTGATTCATGTTAATGTATGGCAGAGGCCAAGACAATATTGTAAAGAAATTATCCTCCAATTTAAAAAGTAGAAGCAAAAAAACACTCAACATGAAAAAAAGGCGGGGAGGGGTTGGTGATGATAGAAAGAGTGAAGCTTAAAATTGTGTTAGTTATCAAGAGTATATAAATTTTTTAAATGAAAATAATTTGATAAGATTCATTGAAATTAAAATATACATGCCCTTTGACCTAAAAATTATTCAGGAGGCTTTTCCTACAGAAGAACACTCTTCTTTAAACATACTCTATGGTCACTCCCACATGACTCTGCCCTATTGTAAATGCCCTCCCTAACCACCTTACACCTTATCAGAGAAAAATAAGCAATCTGATCACATGAACCACAGCCTTATCTAACTCAATGAAACTACGACCCATGCCATGTAGGGCAACCTAAGACAGATGGGTCATGATGGAGAGTTCTGACAAAACATGGTCCACTGGAGAAGGGAAAGGCAAACTACTTCGGTATTCTTGCCTTGAGAACCCCATGAACACTATGAAAAAGCAAAAATATAGAACACTGAAAGATGAACTCCCCAGGTCGGTAGGTGCCCAACATGCAGTGGAGAAATAATTCCAGAAAGAGTGAAGAGACAGAGCCAAAGCAAAAACAACACCCAGTTGTAGATGTGACTGGTGATGGAAGTAAGCCCGAGGCTGTAAAGACCAATATTGCATAGGAATCTGGAAAGTTAGGTCCATGAATCAAGGCAAATTAGAAGTGGTCAAACAGGAGATGGCAAAAGTGAACATCGACATTTTACGAATCAGCAAATTTAAATAGATTGAAATGCGTGAAGTTAACTCAGATGACCATTATATCTACTATTGTGGGCAAGAATCCCTTAGAAGAAATGGAGTAGCCATCATAGTCAATAGAAGAGTCTGAAATGCAGTACTTGAATGCAATCTCAAAAACCACAGAATGATCTCTGTTTCCAAGGCAAACCATTCAGTATCACAGTAATCCAAGTCTATGCCCCAACCAGTACTGCTGAAGAAGAACAGTTCTGTGAAGACCTACAAGACCTTCTAGAACTAACACCCTAAAAAGATGTCCTTTTCATTATAGGGGACTGGAATACAAAAGCAGGAAGTCAAGAAATACCTGGAGTAACAGGCAAATTTGGCCGTGGAGTACAGAATGAAGCAGGGCAAAGGCTAACAGTTTTTCCAAGAAAACACACTGGACATAACAAACAGCCTCTTCCAACAACACAAGAGAAGACTCTACACATGAACATCACCAGATGGTCAATACCAAAATTGGATTGATTATATTCTTTGCAGCCAAAGATAGAGAAGCTCTATATAGTCAGCAAAAACAAGACGAGGAGCTGACTGTGGCTCAAGATCATGAACTCCTTACTGCAAAATTCAGACTTGAATTGAAGAAAGTAGGGAAAACCACTAGATCACTCAGGTATGACCTAAATCAAACCCCTTACGACTATACAGTGGAAGTGACAAATAGATTCAAGGGATTAGATCTCATAGACAGAGTGCCTGAAGATCTATGGATGGAGGTTTGTGACACTGTACAGGAGGCAGTGATCAAGACCATCCCCAAGAAAAAGAAACGCAAAAAGGCAAAATGGTTGTCTGAAGAGACCTTAAAATAGCTGTGAAAAGAAGAGAAGCTAAAGGCAAAGGAGAAAAGGAAAGATATACCCATTTGAATGCAGAGTTCCAAAGAATAGCAAGGAAAGATAAGAAAGCCTTTCTCAGTGATCAATGCAAAGAAGAAGAGGAAAACAATAGAATAGGAAAGACTAGGGATCTCTTCAAGGAAATTAGAGATACCAAGGGACCATTTCATGCAAAGATGGGCTCAATAAAGGACAGAAATGGTATGGACCTAACAAAAGCAGAAAATATTAAGAAGAGGTGGCAAGAATACACAGAAAAACTGTACAAAAAAGGTCTTCATGACCCAGATAATCATAATGCTGTGATCATTCATCTAGAGCCAGACATCCTGGAATGTGAAGTCAAGTGGGCCTTAGGAAGCAACACTACGAACAAAGCTAGTGAAGGTGATGGAATTCCAGCTGAGCTATTTCAGATCCTAAAAGATGATGCCATGAAAGTGCTGCACTCAATATGCCAGCAAATTTGGAACACTCAGCAGTGACCACAGGACTGGAAAAGGTCAGTCTTCATTCCAATCCCAAAGAAAGGCAATGCCAAAGAATGCTCAAACTACCACACAATTGCACTCATCTCACATGCT